CTTCAACAATACGTCTCTCTCTGACTGCAGTTCAATTACTCATTACCTATACACACACTACATTACCGTCACGTTGTCACCCTTTTTTATATACCAGACTACCCTATATCTAGTAAATGCTAGAGCATTCGCCAAAGTACAGGATAGTTCTAGAAAGTAGAGGGCGTGAGAACAGTCACGTGATCTCGATGGTATGATCTAAGAGATAGACTAGTAAACTATAGGCTCATTTCTAACATCTGGATAGTCATAGTGTTGCGTCAGCGAGGTCACGTGACTAGTGTCACGCGACTTCTCTCGAACCTTCGTGAATTGTCGGGAGATTACTAGATATAGGGTAGCCTGGTATATATATATATAAATGGTCACAACGTGACGGCATCATTGTGTGTGTAGGTAGTGAGTAATTGATTTGCAGTCAGAGAGTATTGTTGAAGTTCGTTATAGCGTTTGTTTTAGCGCGAATGCTGAAATCAAGTGTATCGTAAAGTTATATTCAGAAAGAATAAACCAGTTTTATTAAGTAAGGACTTGTGTCGCTAAAGTTTCGTCGGAACGAAGTTACGGAAAGTTAATTAACAAACGGAGACGTAACAATAGGTTAAGTAAAACTCGTGGTATATGTCCATGAAAGAAATCACTAAAGAGACAGTGAATAAAATGATATTGTATATCATGTGCTTGCTACACCTTGTTTATTTGTTTTTAATAACAAAGCTACACAATAGGCTATCTTTGCTCTACCCACTTCTGGGTACAGAAAACGCGGTTTTTGCATTATAATACCTCAAACTTACCGCTAAGTAATAAAGTTTTGATTAGTGTGTAAAAGTAGACAGCAGTTTTTTTTTGTTTTTTTTTCCTATTAGTAGATCATGTGATATTTCGAGGTCACAACTTCCATTGTTTTCTACTGGAAATTACTAGTCACATGTTAGCGCTAGTTGCTCTGGAAACATATGATGTTATAGTTCTAAGTATATAACGTGATGTTTTCCCAGATTCAAACAGCTTAGAAATACGAAAAGATTGAGAGATATTTTGAAAGGACTACAGCTTACTCTACACTTAAGAGTCATGAACTAACCCTCTCCAGTAAAGGTAATTGTCTTATCATTCTTAGACAACGCACACACATTGTTGTTTTGTCTTTGAAATAAAAAAAAATGTTTTCATTGTTTGATTGTGTTTGTGTTCAGTCTCTTTCCTTGAAGAAATTCAGGATTAATTATATTAAGCTTATTATATTTTTAACACTACATATTCCTAATCTAGTTCCTAATGGATTTTCAAGAAGTAGAACAGTGTGTAATAATAGTAGTTCAACCATATTATATTTGTCATATCCATTGCCTACGATGTGTTTCGATCAATTCCAGATACCTCCAGAACGGCTAGGATACAATAAACACATTAAAGGTCGGAAGACTGTTTATATAGGCCATTTGTTACATCAAGAATTGTTATGGTGTGAACGCCTTTTCAAAGCTCACAAAGAATGATATAATTAATTATATTTATCATAAGACATTATATTAGGCCTATTATATTTTAACACTACATTACTAATCTAGTCTCAAACGGATTTTCAAGAATTAGAAGAGTGTATGATAACAGTATTTCAACCACACTATATTCGTCATATTCGCTGCCAGAGTTTTTCAGGCTGCCTGGGTCAGCAGTAAGTTTGCAGACTTTCAACGCCAAAATTCGGGGTTTGATTTCCCATGGTGGACACAGCGTAGATAGACCAATACGCGGCTTTATGGCAAACACAACAAACAATCATGTTAGTAGACTTGCGCCTATAGCTTTACGAATAGAAAAAGAAAGGCTATCGAATCTCTAACTCTGTATATCAACAAAACACCGTCTTCAATTTCAATTATTCGGTGCCTCAGGCTGCTTAGTGGTAAATCTGAAGGCTTATAACGCTAAAAATATGGTTTGATACCCGCGGTTTGCAGGGCACAGATATCTCTTTATATAACTTTCTACTGATTTGTTTGTGATTAAGCACAGAGCTACACAATGGGCTATCTGTGATTTGCCCACAACGGGTATCGAAACCCGGTTTCTAGCGTTGTAAGTCCCCAGACATACCGCTGTGCTACTGGGGGGCACTTTCTACTGAACAACAAACAATCCTTCGACATAAACATAACTTTTCCTGTTATATGAAACAACAACAAACATTGTCATTGATGATATACTTTAGTTTCTTATAGATAAGCTTATTAATCAAATTCTTCAGTGTTAATGACAATAGATTTCAACTAATAGATATAATTTTTACACCACATATGTTTATTAAAAATGTTAGGCCTATTCGTTTTCAATGGTCATTGTCAAACATCAAATATTAGTTTACAGTTTGTCCTTTTTGCCTTGCCATAATATAAACTATTTAACCAGTGATGTAAATACCGAATTCAGAAGCCTGTCAAGATGGATTCGTGTTTTGCTGTAGAAAAAGAAGTAGATAGAGTTATAACAAAGTATCATGCATTTAACGAACATGCTAAAATGACATTAGCTGACTTGGTGAATTATGTCCAAGGTTTACAAACTGAATTAAGCCAAGGCAAGGTTTTAGCTTTTCATTAACATATAAATTAGCATAGAATGATTCACAAATGGGCCTAACTTCTTTATTCAACTTTTATAAAGAAGTTAGGCCTATTTGGGCATCATTCTTTTTTCTTTTTTTTTGTCTAATTTTTAGCTTATCTAAATTTAAGACTAAGAGTTGGGTAAGCTCAAGTCTAGGACTAGTACTACTTACCACTAGGTCTTACTGTCGAATCTTTTATTTTTAAAGGATCATACTATAACTAGTACTAGTACTCGGTAGTAATACTAATAGTATACTATAGTATAAGTTATACATAATATGATAACAGACCTAAGGTATACTATACAGTATAGGTGACAGTAACACTACTGTGTTTTTTAACTTTTTATAATTTAAATATAACAATGAAATTCACATTGTTTATCTACATAGTTAATGCTATGTGTGATACTCATATAGCCACACCAGTAAGCTTGCTTTGCAGCCAATTAAAAGAGCCACAGCTGATTTAAGCAAAACAAGTCTTTATTTAACAGTTGCCATTCCATGCAGGTTAACAGCCATAATCTTTTTAATAATGTTGTTGATTAATTAACATATAACCTAGTAAAAATAATAATAAATAAACAGAAAAACAGTTTGATTAGAAAATAAATAGGGACCTTCATCTATTACAAAAAGTTAGTGTGTTCTTATTAGTCACATATTTTGTTAATTAATTAAATATATTCACTGGGGAGGGAGGGAAGGAAGGGTAGGTTTACACTGGTGCTTTTTTTTTCTACATTAAAATTATTATTATTAGCATATATTTTATATTTCATACTTTTTCTACCATAACACATCTCTTAAGTCTTGTTTACTTGGTATTCAACACATTAGCAGCTGCTAAAGATACCTCACTCCCTCATGCTTCACCATAATGGTCTGTTATAATGCAGTTTTACTACAAATAAACATTGTGAATAATGCTGTATTAATGGATACAAACACAAAAATTTGATTTAAATTTTTATTCTTTATTCAAAGAATTCAACATAACACAAAATGATTATAACAAAAAAACAAGAATAAACTAAACACAATCAAATTGGTGCAACTAGCACCAAGCTCATGACTCTCACCCGAAGTAACTACTAAGTCACGCATGACTTTGAGAAGCAGTGTCGAAAAATTCATTTAGCAATTTTTCGTAAAAAAATACTTTATTTTCTAGTCAGTTTAGGACATGATCACGATGTGAATATGTAAAATCTGGGATTCTCACGTAAATTTAAATTAGTATTTGTTTGTTTTTTTGGAGGATTGCAATCAATTACTTATCCAGAGTCAAATTAAAGAGCACAATTAAAAGTCTCAAACTGAAGGTCTGGTACTGGGTTTTAAGGAACTTACTTTTTATATCCAGTGTAATAAGTACGATATGTTACAGATCAGTGACATCCTAGTTGGATGTAATCATAAGTGACACATTTTTATCATAGTATAAGATTAATGTAATTAAGTAAACTACGTTAAAAGATTAAAATCGTTTGTGAAGTATTTTATGATGCGAGTTCTTGGATACATCTGTGTGTCATTTTGACTCAAGTTAATATGGTCTGAATGAACTTAGTGTGAAACTTTGTTTTTAAGCCTCTTGTTTCCAAGTTATCAATATAATTTATATATGTCTTTCTGGATTGTTTTTAGTCATATGACTTTTCTCTGGTGTGTGTAATGATTAATTATAAAGTGCTAGGTCAAAGTGTACCAATGTTAGTAAACAAAACGTGACATAATATAGTCACAGTAAAGATTTTAAATTTGGTTGTGTTGGTAGCCACATTTTAATCCTTTGAGTTTCATATAAGAACAGTGTCTTATGAATACAAAAGCTGACAAGTATAGTAATACAGGGTTGAATGCATTCTGTTAAATTTATTTTGAATATGTAAATCAGCGAATCATGCAAGAATCATAGCCAGTATAAAGTTGTGACAAAACAGCATGTATCAGAACTACATCTTGACATTTTTTGGCATTTTGTAGATACTGTGAGTACCAAAAATTGATTGCTTTTTTAAAGGGTATGTAGCAGCTCTTACCGATGCATAATATTTATGGACTCAGATCATAAAGATGTGTTCAGGTTGGGGATTTAGAAATTCCAAAATAGGAAATCTCTTTTGTTTAATGGCTTTGGAAAACAATTGAATATGGATCAATGTGGGACACCAGAACCATCTATATATAAAGATTTCAACAAGTCATATTCTAGTTATGGTAAGCAAAGTACAATGTCTGGTAACAGGTGAGAAACCATGAACAGAAAAGTCAGTGGTAACTGCACAACATAATAAGGAAGGATCTCCATCTGGAAAATAAGGCCAACAGAAGTATGGGTTCACAAAGATAAGGCTTCCAGTCATACCCCCTGTTTAACTGTTGCATACCTGAAGCAATCTCTGCAATCGAACTGTTGAAATGGGCACTGGGAAACTGTAGATGGATTATGGGAAGCCTATAGGGAGGATTGGTGTGCTTTGGAAATGATTGTCTTACACCAGAGTCTTTTGCAATGGAGACTTCACTACAGGGCTATAGTCACAATGCATGGTTGTTAGATAGAGCATGAACAAATGTGGACTGTAACAATGTGGAGATGCTCCAACAATGTATTGATGTAACGTTCTCAACCCTCCTTATTATATCTTTATTTTTGAAGTACATATATTCACATACAGTTAGCAGGTTCTAATGTACTGGTAGAAGCATGATATAAGTTACATGAAAACAAACTGGTTTAGTTCATGGGTCACCAAAAATATTTTTCCAAAAAGCTTTTGCTACTTATGTTATATGGGAGCTTGTGATGTATTAGGGTGAGTTGAATCTCAGAAATATACCTTGGTCAGATTTGTTCAGAAAGATTGTTGGTGTATAATGTATAACTAGGTACTAATATATTTAGTTTCATTGATATTATTGTTTATAATATTGAAAATAATTTTTTATGTTATTATTATTATTTTAACACTTATGAAGATTAGTTTTCATTTATAAATTTCGGACTAATCTCAATTTCTTAAAGCTGACTGGATCTCGTGTGATATTTTTTGAGTTTACCGATTAAATACTGTTAGTGGCAAGGGAAGCAAACTGACAAGTTATATATATATATATATATATATATATATAGTTGGTTATATATAATTAGATTCATTCCTTAATTCCTAAATACTTTTTTTTAGTTATAACCAGTACAGTTTATATACTTCTTTTAGTAATTTCCAATAAATTTTAATGTGTTGTAACTAACTACAGCACCATTCGACCAAGAAGTTACACCATCCCAAGCACTGTTGTTAGCACAGTGTGCTAAACGAGTAAAAGATGTCACAACATCCATGACCACGGAACACAGGGACCTACATGGAACTGTTTCGAAAGTAGGAAAAGCTATTGACAAGGTAAATCATATCTTTTGAAATGTAAATATTCTTTACATAGCTATTTTGTTGCTATTAATTTTCCAGAGATTTTTAAAATTCTAACTTAAGTCTAAAGATAAGAAATGCTAAACAGGTGCATGGCATAAGACCAGCAAATTCACCCAGTATCCAGAACTTAAATTGAACAGTAATAAACATAAATACTATTTCTTTCTTCTGTCAGGAGTTCCAAATGCTGGTAATAGCAACATAGAACTGTTTCAAGTCTTTTAAAGGCAAGTTATCAAAAAATCAGGTTTCTGATTAGCTGTTTTTTCAGTTACTTTTTAACGACTACACATGATATTGTGTTATTTTTTTATTATCGTGTCACGAGCAATGAATCACTTAAGGTATTGTTGCTAATGTAATTGAAAAGTCTGTATAAAATAATGCATCATATTTCATGAGCTGTCACTAAGTAACATTTTTATGGACATATTTTTTACTGTTGTTTACATGTTCTCAAGAGGGTGTTGACCAAATCATGGTAGTGTTTAGTAGGGTAAGGTATTTCAACATGTAATAAAGGTTTTGATTATTTTTAGAAGAAAAATAAGCTTGTCCAATTTTTTTATGAGGTATATGTTCTGAAATTATCTTAACTGTATAAAAATAGAGTGAGAAAAATGATATATATGGTCATGAGTACAGCGATTGACATCAATATTCTTTTTAACAAAATGTAATGCTTCAATTATTTGTTGTAATTCTGAGTAAATTACAAGTTACTGCTTATTTCTATGCTTAGTTATTAAGTTAGAACCAACATTTGTTTTACAAGTACAGTTTATGGCTCTTTGCCAGATAAGTGTGGCCCTTGACTTCTTGAAAACTTGTAATCATGTGCACTTTACTAAATATATGTAAGCAAGCCTTGAGTCACAGCTGCAAATAGAAACCTGTTTATTTTTTTTTATGAGTTGTAGTGAGTCATATTCAGTTGATTGAAATGCCGGTTGGATTAACCATTTCATAATTAAATGTAACTAAACCCATTCAACTAGTAAAAAAAAACAACAACTTATTCACAAATTTTATAATACTTAGTAAATATTTTTGTTGAAATTTAAACACTGTTTATTAAGTCAGGATCTGCTAACTTGTATATTATTTTTAGTGGCTGTGAAGTAAATATTATTATAACAGGTGTACAAAAACAATATGCAAGTATTGTAGAGGGGGTGTGTATGTGGAAGGATTGGCAAAAATGTGACTTTTTGCTGTGACATTTTATATGTTCTATATCACCTGCCATTAAGTGGGGCTAAGTTTTTCTCTAATTGGTTCGTTTTTGGTTTGTCTCTAGAATTTAATTCCAGATTTTGGTAGCACCAGTAGTGAAAAAGTTTTTGGAGAAGAAGAAAGTCAACGATTATTAAACCAGGTGGTGTGTGAGCATTTTCTACGACAAGGGATGCTAGACATAGCTGAAGAACTCATAAAAGTGAGCAAGTCTTACTGTTCATATAAATCTTGATAGCTTAGAAAGTCTTATGTAATAAAAACAAACTAGAACAAACAAGATATATTTTATAAAGGTCACTGAACCTCGTCTGTAACTCAGTGAGCATGAATTTATACATTTAATAACTGAATGTACTTAGTGTATCTTTCTGAAATTTGGCAAAATTACGGTAAACGTACAAGTCTGTTGTACGTGAAAAAAAAAAATCCTTTGGTGGAGTATTTTTACTAAAGATTTGTCTGTGGACTTACTGAGTCACTATAACTCAGACTTTGACTAGTCCGAGTGTAAGGTAATTTTCGTATTAAGAAAAACCATACTTTTTCATTTTAAAGTTTTCATATTTAATTTGCATAAATCCTAGAACTTCATTATATTTATGTTTTATCTCTTATATTCTTTACCCTGATACTAACTATAGCAAAATCAATAGTGTGGGCTAAGATGAACAGTTGAAAAATATGAAATAAATCTAAGTTACCCCATTTTGTCTTTCTAGAATGACTGAATACTGTAACAGACATTACACACATTTATTCTTACAGTGAAAGCTAATAAACTTTTCAGATCTGAGTTCCTTTAGATTTGTTGCTTAACAGCTGGACTTGGACAGTCTCAAAGTATGCCAAAAGCCATTTATCACAGCCTTACAGTGATGTAAACAAACACATTCCAATCATACCTTGAGTAGCACGAGAAATTTTACTTACTTTTTTGTTCAGTTAAGTGTTAGTTAATTTATAAGATTCAATTAAAAAAAAATATACATAAAAAAAAATTTTTTTCTGGAAAAAGCAACCATAGACATATTTTTTTTGTAATGGAAGTTAATTGTCCGAAATATTAGTAATCTTTATTTCAAGTATACAGTTTACAACATAAAACATTCACACACACTAAAAATAGAATGCCCTAAAATTGGTATAATATAACCGGCTTTCTATCTAAGCTATAAATAGGTTAAAAAGTTCATTCTTTCCCTGGTGGGACAGTGGTAAGTCTGTAGACTTACAACGCTAAAATAATGGGTTTGATTCACTTCAGTGGACACAACACATAGCCTGATGTGGCTTTGCTATAAAAAAAAAGTTCAGTTATCTGGTCTAGCCGAACACTACAAAGGAACAATGTAACTGGTGCCGAATGTTTCCTAACCTGGCAACTAAACTAACTAGCCTCCTAACATGTTTAATAAAAAAAAGTTTGGTTCTGCTGTTGGTTGGTTATGAATAATCCATTAACAAATGCCAGAGAGAGAGAGAGAGAATTATTGACATTTCTTGAAAGACATAATGAGGTAAGAGGAGCGTGGTACGTGGGCTTGATTTTCTTGTTTATATCTCGGTAATCCAAGAAGTTTGAGGCTATACGTTTAGAGTATAGCTTAACAATATCATAATGTAATTGATGGCAGAAGATCATATAAAGGTAGAAATAAAATTTTGAATGAGCAGTTTGGAGCAAAGAAGCATTACATGATACTAAGAAGTAAAGATTTAGAATTAATTTAATTATTTCCTTTCGAAATTAAGAACTTAAAGCTTATATAAAAACAAAATTTGAACTATATGTTCGATACCAAATTTATTGACATATATTGATAATAAAATTGTTTAATTAAATTGTGAATGTAATGATAGAAACACAGGTGACATAACGTACTTTGAACCATCTGTAGGGTTAAAGTTTTAATAAAACCGAACAGTGACCTGTTGGTTAGGGAGCTCGACTAGCAATCTGAGGGTCGCGGGTTCGAATCCCTGTCCCAACAAACATGCTCACCCTTTCAGCTGTGGGGCATTATCATGTGCAGTCAATCCCACTATTCATTGGTAAAAGAGTAGCCCAAGAGTTGGCGGTAGATAGTGATGACTAGCTGCCTTCCCTCTAGTCTTTCACTGCTAAATTAGGGACGGCTAGCATGGACAGCCCTTGTGTAGCTTTGTGTGAAATTAAATAACAAAGCAAACAAACCAAATAGTGTAGCTAGATTTACAGGTTTTTCATCAGTTTGTGGGAAACATGCTATATTGCTCAAAGAACAGACAATTTTACTTTGTTTTATAGCCTTCTAAATTCAAGCAAGTTCAGGATTTGTTTTATAGCCTTCTAAATTCAAGCAAGTTCAGGTTTTGTTTTATAGCCTTCTAAATTCAAGCAAGTTCAGGTTTTGTTTTATAGCCTTCTAAATTTAAGCAAGTTCAGGTTTTGTTTTATAGCCTTCTAAATT